TTCATTACTAAATTGTGGCTGGTGGGTACACATTTATTCTGTGATAAACATTTATTTAAAAGGGATCTATTAGGGACTTGAAGTTTGATAAAAGCCTTTATGTTTCAATTGATAAATGTTAAACATTTAAAAGTCTTCATGTTCAACTGAAGCATATATTAGCCTGGGCACTAATCCCTCCTGCATTCCAAACTCAGCTTTGCTATAGTCACACGCCTTGTTCATTAATCCTCAGAGATGCCATGTACACGGAATAATAACCCATGGCCAAGTAGTTAAACCTTGCAGGAAGCTAAGAAATACCTATTTAATAGAAAGGTTCACTGGATTATAGCAACCTTTTAGCTGGAAAATGCTGAAACATTAAAAAAAAGATATAATAGATATGCTTCCAGATATTATACTTTGGTTGTTACCCTTCTACCTGACAAGCATAAGAGATACCAATATGTGGCCAGTTGGCTGACTTCTTACATCTTTATTAGACACACAGTTAAAGTAGGTTTAAAAGATTTAGTGAGTTTTTGATTAGCAATTTATGAATTTCTATGAGGCTTTTCAAGATATCTCATGCAATACCTTGAAATAACATGAGTAATTGTAAATGTACACGATAATGAGAGGAGGGAATGACAGTACTTGCCATTTAGTAAACTCTCAAGACATACTGGTGGCAGAGCTTGAACACTTCACAGGAGTTTTGTGCTCTAATAAAGGACTGCAATACAGCAGACTTGGTTCTAATTGTGGCTCTACTGTTATTCTCTAACTTTGGAAAACTGAAGTAATCTGTTTATGTCTCAAATTCATCCTTGTTTAAGTGGCCTTAATAGTAGCTGCACTACCTAATTTATAGGGCTACTATGGAGGGGCAGTTTAGATAATGCTATGAAAGCATTCTGATAAGTCGCAAAAGCTAAACATATAAATAGGAATCATTAGTGAGTGACACAGAATTAACAGGTGGGCTCATTCCTGCCCTATAGCAGAATGAGAAGTCAAGGGCCAACTTTTTGGCCAGTTCTCTTTAAAAATTTCCAAGTGTGGTAGTGATAAAACTATAATCTATGTTGTTAAAATTTTTTCCTTTTCTTATTTATTTAATTTATTTTTATTAAATTATTATCTGTGTACATATTTTACCATTGACCCCCCCCACACACACACACTTACATACCCACCCTCCCAGAGTTTTGTGTCCATTGGTTGTACTTATATGCATGTATACAAGTCCTTCGGTTGATCTCTTATCTCCCCCAGATCTCCCTCCCCTCCCCGCTGTAATGTGACAGTCTGCTTGTTGCTTTACTGTCTCTATATCTATCTTTTGGTTCATCAGTTTATAATGTTCTTTATTATCCATAAATGAGTGAGGTCATGTGGTGTTTCTCTTTCATTGACTGGCTTATTTCACTCAGCATGATGTTCTCCAATTCCATCCAGGTTGCTGCAAATGATGAGAATTCCTTCTTTTTTATGGCAGCATAGTATTCCATTGTGTAGATATACCACAGTTTTTTGATCCAATCATCTGCTGAAGGGCACCTAGGCTGTTTCCAAATCCTGGCTATTGTAGATTGTGCTGCTATGAACATAGGGGTGCACATATCCTTTCTGATTGGTGTTTCTAGTTTCTTGGGATATATTCCTAGGAGTGGTATTACTGGGTCAAATGGGAGTTCCATTTTCAGTTTTTTGAGGAAACTCCATACCGTTATCCACAGTGGTTGCACCAGTCTGCATTCCCAGCAGCAGTGCACGAGGGTTCCTTTTTCTCTGCAACCTCTCCAACACTTGTCGTTTGTTGATTTGTTGATGTTGGCCATTCTGACAGGTGTGAGATGGTACCACGTTGTTGTTTTTATTTGCATCTATTTTGTTAAAATCTTGATCAATTGTTTAAAATTAAACACATCTCCCAATCTTTCAAATAGGCATCCTAACACCTCAGATATGATCTAGTAAGAGCACTTAAAACCATGGAAATTGGGCCAGTCAACAAAAGAATTTTTATTTTTTAAATACTCTAACAAGGAGCCAGGAAAAATGATTCTAGATGGGACCTGCAGACCCCTGTGAACTATACTTCAAAGCCATTGTAATCAAAACAGCCTGCTATGAACATAAAAATAGGCATATAGGACACAACAGAGAGCCCAGAAATCAACCCATGCTCCCATGGACAATGAATATTTAACAAAGAAGGCAAGAGACTACAATGGAGTAAAGACAGTCTCTTCAATAAATGGTGCTGGGAAAACTAGACAGGCACATACAAAAAAGGAACCAGACCATCAACTTGCACCTACACAAAACTAAATTCAAAATGGACAAAAGACTTAAATATAAGTTGCAATACCATAAAAATTCTAGATGAAAACATAGGCAGTAAAATCTTAGACATCTCTTGTAGCAACGTTTTTGCCAATATGTCTCTGAGGGCAAGAGAAACTCTGGAAACATATACAAATGCAACAGCATCAAGTTAAAAAACTTCTGCACAGCAAAAAACATCAACAAAATGAAAAGAGAACTCACTGAATGGGAGAACGTATTCGCCAATGATATATACAATAAGGGGTTAATTTCCAAAATATATAAATATATAATTCAACACCAGGAAGACAATCCAATTAAAAAATGGGCAAAGGACCTGAATGGATGCTTCTCCATACATGACATACAAACCATCAATAGACATGCAAAAATGCTCAAGGTCACTATCAGAGAGATGCAAATAAAACTATATCTCACATATGCCAGAATGACTACTATCAATAAACAACAAATGCTGGTGAGAATGTGGAGAAAGAGAACCCTCGTGCACTGCTGGTGGGAATGTAGTCTGGTGCAGCCACTGTGGAAAAACAGTATGAAGTTTCCTCAAAAAAATTAATATATGTGCTGCCGAAGCGAGCACAGTTTCCTCAAAAAAATTAAAATAGGAACTGCCTTTGACCCAGTGACCCCATTTCTGAGAATATATCCTAAGAATCCTGAAATACCAATCAGAATATATGTAACCCTATGCTTATAGCAGCATTTTGGTAATAATTAAAACCTGGAAATAGCCCAAGTGCCCATCAGCAGATGAGCAAATAAAAACACTGTGGTACATTTATACCATGGAATACTATACAGCTGTAAAAGAGAAAGAAGTCTTACCGTTTGTGACAGCATGGATGGACCTGGAGAGTATTATGCTAAGTGAAATAAGCCAGTCAGAAAAAAACAAATACCATGTAATCTCACTAATACATGGAATATAATGAACAAAATAAAATGAATAAAATGGAACCAGAGGCATGAATACATGGAACAGACTGGCCAGTGCCCAAGGAAAGGGGAGTGGGCATGACTCGATAAAGAAGGTGAAAGAAATAGCTAAAGAACATATATGCATACCCCATGGATACAAACAATAATTTGGTAAAGGCCAAGAAAGGTGGAGGTGGGGAAGGGTGGAGGTGGGCAAAAGTGAGGGGGAATAGGGACTCCTGAAATGGTCACTAAAATTTTTTTAATGAAAAAAAGAAAAAAAAAGAAAAGAAAAGCTGCATACACCTTGGTTGTGTTTGCTGTAACTAATGCATAATGTCTCTTAAAACATTCAACTAATGTGGACCATAAGAGTGTTTAAACAGTAGGTTGCAATGTAGCTGGATTGTGGGAAAAGCAGATAATGAAGAGAAAGCTTTACTAGAATGATAGTACCATTTCAGCATGTACTAACATGCATATTTCTTCCACAGATAAATGAAAACTGAATAGCCTTGGGAACGGCATGGCTTACATCTCAGAAAATAAGTTAGTTTGGAAGTCACAAAGTGAGCAGCATTAATATGTCCCATTTCCGAAGGGGCTTGTTTCAGGACAGGTTAGCCTAAGCTACTGGAAATCCTGTCCATTGTTGAAGGCTCCACTAAGCACGATTATTGCTTGTTATCTAAATAACACATTAGAAACATTATTTTTAAATGGTCACCTTTGCATCTCAACCTGTTTTTCTTACTTCATTTCTCTTCATATTATAACTGTCTACTTTCCTTACATAATAAGAAAAGTCAAGGAATTCCCCAGATGGAGTTCTTTAGGCTTAAAAGGGAAAATGTAGAAAGCCAGTCTCAACAGTGTCATACTTATCTTTTACATAAAAACCATGGCACATTGTGTTTTAACAAAAAGCAGACGCTCTCCTGGTATCTTGAAATAACTTAAATCACATTGAATACTGGGACAGTATGGCTATTTCACATTCCCACACAGGCCTAACAGTTCAGGCCTGAGCCCATATGCAGAGGCTGCTGCCATGTGACAGGGACAGTATAGTCAATTAAAAGGGCCATAGGGAAATCGCTCCCTATTATGTGAAGGAGAGTTTAAGATATCCTGACCTAACCAGTGAATTCTCCAGAACCTGTGTCTCAATCTTAGAGTGAGGTCACTAAATCTTATTCTGGTACTTCCTGTGACTTCTATAACCCAGTGTGACAAAATGCTGCCCTTTGCCTTTTCTTTTTCTTAACACCCCTTTTCTTTCTTATCTTCCCAATTCAGTCTGCCAAGAGGCTAGACATTTTAGCTCCCTTTTCAGAACCACCGTACAAAATGCCACAAGGTTGTGTGATCCCCACCAAACTGGGATTTCATGAACGTTTCTCTCACTGTCAGTCGTGTTTTGCTTCTGTATGTTTCCTAAAAGAGCAGCCACGTTTAATATTGTGAACTAAGATGTGACTCCTCCTCTCCCCACCCTCAAGAACAGTGATAAATTTCAGAGCCTGCTCAGCAGAACTGGATTGCATTATGCACAGTACACATGTTCACTGCCAAAACTGTACTCGCCGGAATGTATGCAAGCAGAATGAATTGCTGAGACTTCAAATTCCCCGTTCCTCAGAACTGATTTTATTAGCCAATGTACACCAAAGACGGGTGGTAAAAGAAGTATGATTTTCTTGCATCACTGAAGCCCTATGCTATGAAGGCCCAGTCTTTGCCTAAGCCTTGCCAGCTGTGTGCTGCTGCAACACCAGAGACACAGCTTTGCAACCTGTCACCTCTTCCGGCAGGCAGCCATCCTGGTCTCGCAGAGTAGGGTCCGCGCCAGACTGGAGCAGCAGCTCCACGATGTCCAGAAACTCACAGGCAGCAGCTGACAGGGAAAGTGACAGACATGAACACAAGGTTACTTGGAGACAGAGAGACCAGACTTCAGCAGGAGGGTCACGTGCTGAGCTGTGAGGAATTCAGAACAACGATCACCCTTCCAGTGGCTGTAGGGGGATCAGGCCTCAGAAGCAGAACTGTGACGGTACAGTGGACTTGTGAATGTTAGGAAAATCAAATTTACTTTTTTGGTTGCCCAAAAGCAAACAAACAAATGCATTTTTTTACTTTATTATGATTTTAAAAATCTCTTGATTTTTTAAGAGAGAGGAAAGGAGAAAGGAGATAAAGATAGATGAGAGAGAGATACCGATCAGCTGTCTCTTGCATGCCCCCTACTGGGGACTGAGCTTGCAAACTCAGATTATGTGCCCTGACCTGGAATCAACCAGCAACCTCTTGGTGTACAGGACGATGCTAAACCAACTGAGCCACACTGGCCAGGGCAAAATACAAAATAAATATTGCTTTTAGCTGCATTCCACACATTTTGATAGGATTTTTTCATTTAGTTCAAAATATTTCCTAATTTCCCTTGATATTTTTTCTTTGACCTATGAATTACTTAGAAGTGTATTTAAATGTTTTGGAATTGGGGATTTTCCAGATGTGTGTCTGTTATTAATTTCTAATTTAATTCTGAGGTGGTCATAGAGCAAACTTTGTACAATTTCTTTTACATTTGTTGAAATTTGTTGTATTGCCTAGAATATGGTAGATCTTGGCAAAGTATTCCATATGTACTTGAAATAATGTTTATTCTATTTATTAGATGGAAAGGTCTATAGATATTAATTAAGTCAAATTGATTGACAGTATGTTCAAATCTTTCATATCCTCTCTGAATTATTATCTACTTGCTCTATCAATTACTGATTTATTGCTTGACAAAGGGTTGTTTTTTTCCCTTGCTTTTTTGTGTCTCATAATTTTTGATTGAACACAGAATACTGTGTGTAGAAGGATAGTGCAGTCTGCAGTAAATAATACTATTTATCCCAAGAAATGGTTCCTCTTCTTCTGTCATGCCATTAGTATGGGTGTAGGCTAAATTTAGTCAGCAGTTGAACTGGATTTGAGGTTTGTGGGTCCAATAGGTAACTTTAGTATATCACCCATTTCAATTCCTCCAGGAGTGGGCTGCTGCTGCTCCCTTCTACTGCGTGTGCAGTGCAGGGTGCCGGAGGGTTTTTCAGTATTCTTGCTCTACCTTCAGCTTTCAGTAGTCTCTGCATGTCTATCACAAAGGGAGTCTCTCTCTTCTCTGGTTCTAAGACTGCCATTGCTTATTATTCAGTATAAAGCTCATGGTGGGAGTGAGATGGAGTTCTTTGTCCTCTGGGCCTGGTTTCAGTCTCAGACAGACCCTCGGGGTGCTGATTACTCAGTGTTCTTGTACTCCTCCCAGAAATGTCTACCCTACTCTGCCTTGTATTAGGGAGAACATGTCCTGACTGGGAGAGTCTCCTTTTTATCGGTGCAGGGTTCAGAGCCGAGGGGTTCCCTGTTCCCCCTCGGCAGCAGATTTTGCTTTTATTCCTCCTCCAAAAGCCGTGGGTATCTGCCTGGGCCCAGGGAAAGGAGGAGGACAGAAAAGTTTTCTGATTTATCACAAGTGGTTTAAGGATTTGGTTTCATATGAACTAAGGGTCCAGGGAAGTGGCAGAATTTCAGGACTGAATGCCACAGAGGAGAGCTCTCTCTGTTCTCAATTTCTCTTAAGAGCATCAGTTAATAAAGAGCACTGAGGTGAGGACTCTTCTTTGGTCTGAATTATTCTAAAATATCATTATAGCTCACTCGAAGAAGGTTTTCTTCTGAATCGGTTTTATGGTGGTTGCCTCTTCTTCAGTTGCTCCACCAAAGTGAAATAGTCTATGTGTCTTGTAGGGGCTTGCCATTTTTTGCTGGATATTACATGGAAGCCAGTTTTCTTTGCTGGATCTTATATGGAAGCAGAACTTTCTGGGAGTTTGGTTTTAAATGATTTAGTGTGACATTTCTTCTTTTGTTCTTTGTTGGTACTCAAGTAAAGTAGTTTCTCTGGCTACCTTAACTGCTCTCACTCCCCGGTGGAGTTCAGGGCTTCCTGGCTATATGAGGTAAAGTAGGAACAGAGTCAACAGTCCAAACCAGGTTGGGATGAGTTGTGAACTTGGGACAAACTCAGGCCTGCATTCTAATCCATAACAGCACAAGATCAGAGATGGTTCTAAGTGAACAGAGGTAGAAGGCAGAATTTTTTCTGAACTAAAATGAGAGCAATTGGGAACCCTATCTCTGCCTTCAGTGGGTTTTTTTAGATGGCCACTAAAACTACATATTTGATAATTGAATAAAGAGAAGAGGAGCAAAACAGAGAAAGGCAAAAATTGCCCAATTCTGTACCTGGGGCAGGTATTGGTGGGCTGAGATCATATTTTGGGATATGGCACAGATGGGGAAGAAGGTGAAGACTGGATATATTTACCAAGGCCCAGAATTCAACAGAAAGTGTTTAGAATCATAACATCCCATCAAGAATTTAAAAATATCTCCCAAAATAATAATTATACCATGAATCACTGTACACCAAATTAAGATTCCAATGGAAGACAGTTTCTTACAAAATATAACAAAGTTAAAAACACATTGCTTAATATTAAGTAGCTGTGAGAGGAGGATATTTCTCCTGCATAGAACTAACTACATGAAATTTTTTGTTTTAAAATATATTATTGATTTTTTTAAAGAGAGAAAGGGAGAGAGATAGAGAGCTAAAAACGTCGAAGAGAGAGAAACATCGACCAGCTGCCTCTTGCACACCCCTTCCTGGGGATGTGCCCGCAACCAAGGTACATGCCCTTGACCGGAATTGAACCTGGGACTTTTCAGTCTGCAGACAGATGCTCTATCACTGAGCCAAACCGGTTACGGCACTACCTGACATTTTAAAAAAAATATATATTTTATTGATTTTTTACAGAGAGGAAGGGAAAGGGATAGAAAGTTAGAAACACCGATGAGAGAGAAACATCGATCAGCTGCCTCCTGCACACCCCCTACTGGGGATGTGCCTGCAACCAAAGCACAGGCCCTTGACCGGAATCGAACCTGGGACCTTTCAGTCTGCAGGCTGATGCTCCATCCACTGAGAGCACAGGCCCTTGACCGGAATCGAACCTGAGACCTTTCAGTCTGAAGGCTGATGCTCCGTCCACTGAGCCAAACCAGTTTGGCACTACATGACATTTGTATTTTGAGAAATAATCATTTAACCTTTTTGCTGCAGCTATCAGTCTCAATTTATTGTGAGAAACACTTGGTTAGGTTTTAAAATTGGAACTTTTAAAGCTGTATCAGAGGAATAAATTTCCCAGTGTATAAATCTGTAACACAGGATAATAACTAGCATGATCCGTCAGACCACTATTGGCTCAAATCTAACCCAACACTTGAGATACTAAGCATGAAGGTCCAGTCTAAGTAGATGTGCACTCTGGCTGAAAACACTAAGCTGGCCATCTCAGACAAAAGGACACTGATTTAAGAGATGCTGTAAGAGGAAGGGAGCCATGGTATAATCTGTGAGTACTAACCCAGGAAAAAGTTGAGCTTAAAATTTTAAATTCCACAGCTAGAGGACTATAGATAACCAGTTAACAATCCCCTTAACCTAACAAATGTGAATACAATTTTAGCTCAAGTCTAACTATGAAATAAGATTTAAGTTTGGAATTTAAGGATTACAAAACAGTACTTGTGAGTAAGGGATATGCTATCCATAAGGAAAGGAGTTTGATTAACAAGTACCAGGGGTTTATGTAAAGGCATACTGACATGAGAGCATAAGGAATCAGGAAGCTGTAGTAGAGAGACAAAAAGGAAGTGAAGAGAAAGACTGGTTTACAGGACAGGGAAACCACACAGGGGAATCATACCCAATATAAGGTGGGCACTGCGGCACCGCCTCTTGGAGATTCACTGTTGATAGGCATGAACTATGTTTACGGTTAGCAGAGCCTCCTGGTGCAGATAAGTGCTCAACAAATAGTTTGTTTTTAATAGGTGTTGAACCCACAATTAGATGGTGAGTTACTTGATTTCATGCTTTTTTATTCTCTCTCCTCCCTCTAGCACTGTGCTGGGAACCCAGTGTTTGCTCAAAATTCATTAGTTAATTGATTTCTTCGCCTTTGGCATCTTCAGTGAAGCACAATTCATGAGGCAGTCATCTTTTAGAGACGTGTGAGCTGCCCACTCCTTCAAAGTGGATAAAGGCAAAGAAGATGGGAGAGGGGGTGAGGAAAAAAGGGGGCTAACGTTTCACCCAATTAATGAGGGGATATATTGGTGCCCACAATGTGCTGGAAAATAGAAAAACAGTCATAAGCCCGTCTCAGAAAAGCTTGAGCAAGTCCACAGGGAGAAGAACAGTTGCTGAATTTATGGTACCCTGGGAACCTCTATTTGTCAAGTGCCATAGAGGCAGCCCTGACACTGGCACAGGTGAAGATGAATTTCATTCAGAGCAGTGAGCCTTCTGACTCCATTAATCCTCAGGGTTTTGATGATGAATTTCTTTCTTTTTTTATTTTATTTATTTTCACTCGAATGCCTCCTCCCACTGCCCTGTAACAGTGTGGAAGGAACAGAACAGATGGTGCTTTACGTGGAAGACCAAGGGCTCATGAGGATACAAAGCCTGCCCACTCTGAAATCACATGACTGCACGTGCAAGGAAAAGCCTTGATTTCCCCTGGGAGACACAGATGCAATGATGTTAGTATTCCCAGTGGAGGGAGAGGAGGGAAAGGCTAACAGGCCATTTACAAGGAAGACCACACTTATACTAATATACTCTTCCGCAAGGATCATGTTTAATTACAAAATAACAGGAGGACCAATATCTGAAGATACAAAAACACCAAAGTAAAATTGAGGTAAATTAAGGGTTTTCATGAGCTGCTATGCAAAGCCCATTTGGAAAAAACCAGTATGGCCATATAGTAGTAGAATAATGGCCTCTAGTTAACCTGCCATTGGCTCTGACCCAGTTTTAATCAGAAGAAGCCAGGATTTACAACCTGCTTAAGGATGGAGTTTGACAACTGCTATAATCAGAAGAGCTGTCAACACAAGGACAGCTGTCAAGCCAAACTGTAATTCATAAAAAATAGTAGCTAAGCCTATAAGACATCCCCAACATTGTCTTTGCACTCCCTGGATTTAACTATACTTTTAGTTTTATGGAAGTCTCAAGAATAGGTTAAGGGTCCTAAAATCAAACCAAATCAACAAATAGCTATTGAGTGCTTATTAAATAAAAAAAGGTTAAATAACATTAAGTGACTAAAAAGATAAACTATGCCCAGCAGATTCCCTGGCACTTGGTAGGTATTTAATAAATGGTAATTACTATTATTGTTGTATGAAGACTTTGTTTTGATGAGCTTAAAAACTGGCAAGTCTAGTGACCTGGTTAAAAAAGAAATCTAAGTTAAAAATGAATCACTCCTATAAGTGATTATTAACTTAAAATATTAATTTCATGAAACATTCCTGGTTGTCAGAATATTTTAATTTTATTTATTTGTAATGCCAAAAACCTCTAACTAATGGTATTATTTTTATGCTTAATTATCTTGATTACAACATATATGATATTTATTTTTTTCCTTCTACAATAAATAATATAATGAGATAGAAATAGAGGTTTTACAAGATCAATTTTGGTCAGGATTCCTGAATCAGGGATAATTTTTATTAATGTTTAAACTCTGTGTCCAGAAATAAGACTATAAAAGTGCAAAGACAGACACAGATATTGATATATATGTTTACTCACAAATACGGTTTTGAAAAATAGCCTTGATTCACTGACTGAGGTGACCAATGGTAAAGGATTTCCATTTATTTTATTTTTGGAAGAGATAATCTTCCACAAAATGTCTGTTTTAAAATAAAAGGATATTAGGACTGTAATTATTTATGGAATTATGAAAAGAGCACTGGAAGTTTAACCAGGAGACCTAGACAAGTGTCAGGTTTCTGCTACTTACAGCTCGTGTTACCTTCTCTGGACTTGAGATTTTCATTTGCAAATGTCGGAAATGTGAGTGTGTATATTATATAAAATTTTAATTAATAAATATTTAAAGTACAGAGAGGAATATAAAGATTAATAAAACAAAATTTTGGTTGTTATAAATAATGCTGCAATAAATGTTCTTAATCATGTCTCATTATATACATGTCCAGTGGTATTTCTAGGGTCTGTATCTAGTAGCAGACTTCCAGCTGGTTTTGGGTACCCAGGTGATTCTAGCTACAGTCAAAAGTGAGTTGGGGCACGCATTTGGTGACATTTCAATTCTTTTTATCAGGCCAAGTTACCATAACAGCTAGCCCAATAATTTAGACTCCTAGACAACCAAGTGAGGTGCTTGACATCCAAGCAAATACTAAGCAGTGGACAAAAGTGCTCAGGGGCACCTGGGATACTTACTACTGAATGGTGATCCAGGATTGCCAAAACTAGTAAAATGGCCCAATATATTCCCTCCCAAAAGGTCTGAAGGTGGTTGATCCTTTATCTGATTTAAATATTGATGGTTGCCTCTTATTCAACCTTATTCACATCCAAATAGAAGGGAAAAAAAATAGGAATACTTTTACTATCGTGTTTCCCCGAAAATAAGACCTAGCGCATGGAAAGATAAGACATCGCCTGAAAATAAGACCTAGCGCAACTTTGGGAGAAAAAATTAATATAAGACACTGAAACAGGGTAGTACTTTACACTTTACAGAATACTTCAATATCTTTTACCTCAGTGAATTTCCCAGTAGCTCTTTAAAGCCATTATCCTCTATTTTATAGGTGACTTACATGAAGATTAGTTAACTATGCTAATAAGTTAGTAGGGGAAATAAGTTAAAAAATAAAATCTATTGTTCTTCAATTACATCAAGAAATTATTGTTTGCAGGATTCTAGCTCCTACAGTAACTGTGATTAGCATCTTAGTTGTCACTGACAGTAAAAGAATAATAAATTTTCAAAGGGAGATTGGAGAAGCCTTCATTCCGTTGATAGTTCAGAAATGCTCAATTCACTATGAATGTGCCCATACAAATTTTAATATACTGTGGACACAGACAATCGTGTGGTGAGGGCCTGGGAAAGGGAGAAGATAGGAGAGGGTTGGAAGAGGTTAATGGAGGAAAAAGGAGGACCTATGTAATGCTTTCAAAAATAAAGATTAAAAGAAAAAAAAAAGTATTTTAATATATCTTCAACTTTAGAGATTAATTTATTTTTTTAAACAAAAAGTTACTGTATCTTTGCTAGTGGCCAGGCATTTTTCTAAGCACTAAATAGTGCTGGACAAAGTTGAGAAAACCATATAGAGAAAAATTTCAAATGATTATTAATAGTTATGAAACATCTTACCATAATGTAGAGCGGTTTGACCTTCATTGTCCTATAAAAGAAACAAACAAAAAATACATTTAGAAGTCTGTTACTGCAAAAGTATGTAAGTACATAAGCTCTAGCAAATATCTGATATTACAAAGTTCTACAGGTTTATCAGATACATAAAATGAAGAAGTTAGTTCTTTGAGCCTCATAGTAACTTCTGTCGTTACCAGGGGCTGTGGGGAGAGAGGAATGTTAAATTATTGGGTAACAGGTACAGCATTTCAGGTTGGGATGGTGAAAAAGTTCTGGTGATGAATAGTGGTGATGGATGCATGACAATGTGAATGTTCTTAATGTCACTAACCTGCACACTTAAAAATGTCTATTTCACAACCATTTAAAAAATAGAAAAGTAAAAATGTGAGCCAAGAACTGCAAGAGGCAATGTTCTCCACTTTTGGAGAAAAGTCTGCAGTAGGAGAAAAGGAAGTACTGACAAAGAAATACGTAGTAGTGAGAGAGAGGGATTTAGAGTCTCTGGTTCTTGTCATTCTGACTATATAATTGCCTTTCTTGGTTAGATGAACCAACAACAAAATACTCCCTAGACAAATGTGATAGTTTTGTCACTGCAAACAAGTGTCCTCGCTAATACAGTATGCAAGACAATTTATGACCCAAACTTTGGTCATTCTTCCTCCCAATTCCTTCTCCTCCAATTTTGTGACTGCTAATTATTAATCAATTGGGACTCCCTTATCTGTCCTGCAGCCTTTAAAGATAGTGTCTTGCTCTTTTCTCCTGTTTTAAAATTTGTCATTGATATACTGGAACACTTTAGGTAGACTTATTTTGTAGTATCCAATAGTTTCTCAAGTTATTTGAGTTCAGAAAGAGGAGGTGGCTGGGTGACAATATACGTGGTGCTTGTTGGGCTGCCTGGGGTTCTCTTTTTGAAGGCTTCCTGTGTGCTTTATAGTTTAGGACTGTAAATTCATTTTAAATGGGGTTTTATCTGAAAAATTCTGGATTGAAAGTCCTTCCCTCCACAATGATTTTGCTTTTGTATCTGCCAAGCACTTCTGAGATATTATCAAACTGAGATCCTTATGTTGATTTCTTAGCTTTTTTGTAGATTTTTGAACCCTTAAGTAGAACAAATTTTAAAAGGGCAAATCTCTCTCTCTTTCCACTACTAGACTTGGAGCACAGACCAAGACAAACTCTCCTTGTCCACATGTTGGTGGGCAGATTATTTTTAAGTCTACTTTTTTCCTGATGGTGGCTGGTGTTGAGATCTCTACCACATCAGTGTTGAGACTGGCCAATTCTTGCAGGGCCGCCCATTGTGAGTTTAAACTCACTATTTTTTTTTTTTTAAGCTTTGGGTTTTAAAAAAAACACCCATGTATATTACCTTTATGATTCAGTTAATCTTCTTCAGGAACCCTCCTGAGTCCTCAGGCAGAGTTAGGTGGCCCTGCTTTCTAGCACTGTGCATACCGTGTTTCCCCAAAAATAAGACATCCTCCGAAAATAAGAACTAGCATGTGGAAAAATAAGACATCCCTGAAAATAAGATCTAGAGCATCTTTGGGAGCAAAAATTAATAAAAGACACTGTCTTATTTTCAGGGAAACAGAGTAGCATACACTCCATGTATTAATTAATCTTTCTCTTCTATTGAGGCTGTAAGCTTCCTATAGGCAAGTATTATGGCTTTCACCCAGGGCCTATCAGTGTCTTGCATACACTGTGTGCTTTCATGAACTGAAACAATGAATATGTTTCTCTTTCCCCATTGATTTATTACTTAATCTCTTGACTACCTTTTATTCATTTACTTGAACTTTTTTTTTTTAAAGTCCCACATATTTCCTATTAGTGTGGAGTATAATACTAGCTGTAATAATCCAATGTGGGCCTAAACAATAATGAATAGGATATGTAGTTTATAGTTAACTAGGTGCAAAATCACTACTATATTCAGGTTGACTTCTAGTCTTTTTTTCTTCCCTATGTGCATAGAATGAGTTGGTCACTCTTTATTCTCTCCCCACAAGACTCTGCACTGACTCTTTTGTACTTCTATTATTTTTATCATGTCCACATTTTATTCATAACTAGAGGCCTGGTGCATGAAATGGGTGGGGTGGGGGTGTCCCTCAGGTAGCCCGCACCCTCTCCAATCTGGGACACATCTCTCTCACAATCCAGGACTGCTGGCTCCTAACCGTTTGCCTGCCTGCCTGCCTATCTGATTGCCCCTAACCACTTCTGTTTGCCAGCCTGATCACCCCCTAACCACTCCCCTGCCAACCTGATTGATGCCTAATTGCTTCCCTGCCGGCCCAATTGCCCCTAACTGCCCTTCCCTGCCGGCCTGCTCAACCCTAACTCCTCTCCTGCAGGTCTGGTTGCCCTCAACTGCCCTCTCCTGCAGGCCTGGTCGCCCCCAACTGCCCTCCTCTGCCAGCATGATCATCCCTAACTGCCCTCCCCTGCTGGCTACCTGGGTCGACCATCTTGTGTCCACATGGGGACAGCCATCTTTGACCACATGGGGTGACCATCTTGTGTGTTGGAGTGATGGTCAATTTGCATATTACCTCTAGATTGGGCACACTATCAAATACAAGAAGTTTGTTTTCTAATTCTATCATATGAAGTACTGATAGTCCTGATTTCTTCCCTACTTTTAACTATCAATCTGAATCAAAAGCCATATTTCCAAATCTATCTATCTATCTATCTATCTATCTATCTATCTATCTATCTATCTATGGTAGTCATGGGAATAATGTGCTTCCTAGATATTCTCTATGAGCAAAAATTTTTGCTGAATGTTACTGGATTTCTTTTGTTTTAATGTGTGACCATAGTGATACTGATACTGATTTAGTTCAGACTTGACCTACCATCTCTGCCAATGCTAAGTTCTAAAGGTACAGTAGGAAGGCAACATTAAGAGTAATAGCAGAGCTGCACAGAGGGGATACATTTTCTCATGTGCCTAAAGAGAGGTTTTGTTCTTACCCCAAAATTTGATAAATTATTTTATTTTAAATTTTATTTTAAAAATAGTATTTCAAGTGAATATACAAGGAGGCACTAAGGAAAATTGGTTATGAGGTATTGAAAGTAGTGATAAAAATGATGAATTAGTAATATGATTTGGGATAATTTTAAATATTATTTCTAAGCTTATAATGTACTACCTCTTTCTCTATGAGATCTGTGAATCTAATAAATTAAACTAAATTGACAATTTGGAAGTCTGCAAATATATTTTGTGATTACTTTTTAAAGAATTTTTCTGGATACAACAGTAAGCCTTCAGTTGAAGGTTTCAGGCATACTCCTTACTTGAACAACAACAACAAAAAAGGAAGTATAGTACCACCTCATTTAACTGGCATCTTTGGAGAGTGAAAAACCTGCAGGTTTTTCAAATAATTGGAACACTACCCTTTGAGCATGCATGTAATAAGAAAAAATTACTATTCACTTGTACTTTCTCTGAATTGTAATACCATCTATATGTTTGTAAACATTTCTCAGCGAGTACAATTATTAGCTATTTCCAATAAAAATTATCAAACCAATTAAAATCATGGTTACTTATAAATGGCTCTTTACAGTTACAAGCATGACAGGGTTACCCCACCTTGCACCATCCACTTATTGTTTGTTATGTTCTTCAGATCACCATGCCTAATTTGTGGCTTTTGAGATCAGATGCTGGGAGCTGAAGTGTTATAGTATTTAATGTGAAATACTGAGATTTTTGATCTTTCAACTTAGAGCATGTCCACCTAGAAATCAATTAGAGCAGGGATACGAACATAAGAACCATGACTCCAATCACAGAATTGATTTGCAAACTGAGAATAGAAAGATAGAAGGACAACCAAGTTGTGTTCTAATTTTATCATCTTTTCTGTCTTCCAAAAGTACTAGAGAAAGGGAGTACTTTAAAGAGACATCAAGAATTTTCCTCAATTCTGATCTGTTTATATATCTAACTACCTTGATATGTCTAAATAGGTATTTGAGAGAAACAGAGAAAGGATGATTATTTTAAATTACTCTCTAATCAAATTGTAGTCTTTAGAGACCTAAATTTAAAATTCTTCTTTCATTCATCTTTTGTATGCCTAGCTCATAAGTACTCATGAAATGTTTGTTCAAAGAATTCGATGATTATAAGTCCTGTTTAGTTTTTAATCATTATTAATAATTATTTTAAAGCAACTACATTATAATACTCTTACTATTACGATTATGAAGCTTTAATAAAACACATCTTGTATCTACAAAATCTTTACCTGTTATTCCTCCTTGTATATTAAATGGAATTTGTATTAAAGAAGGAATATGACTCCAAACATTTTTTCTCAGTAACATCAAAATAGGATATAGGAACCCAAACCTTAGTCTTTATAAACATTCTGTTTTAAAATATATTACAAAGAATAAATGGAATTGAATGTCAAGAATGAGTAAGTGAAAGCTTTTACTCATCTGGTTTACAACTTATATCAGCTAATTTTTCTAAATTTAAGTTGATTAATTTTTTTTGGTTGTTTCATTTCGAATGACCACACCAGAAGAGGGTTGTTTGTCATGGTTATTTATGCTTTTCCTTTCTGTTTTAGCTTAAAAGAAATGTTCAAATTTAATAAGTATGGAGTTGTTATAAACAGCAGCAAAAACAATTCCAATAAATTAAAATCAGTCATACATTTGAAATCTTTGCAAGAGATTATACACTAGGGTAAAATAAAAATACTCAGTTGAATTAAAAATAAACAAAATCACATAATAAAGTAAAAATGTAGACAAATTCAACTGTGTTTAAAATTCAAAGTACAGACAGATCTAAGAGGGGAGGGAGTTAGAAGGATTGGAAGAGACCAACCAAAGAATATATATGCATATATGCATATCCTATGGACATAGACGATAATGTGGTGAAGGACTAGGAGTGCTGGGGGACAGGTAGGGGGAAAGCAAAGGGAGGAGAAATGGGGGAACAACTGTAATCGAGTTCAATAAAAA